TTTAGGGTTTAGGGTTTGGGGTTTAGGGTTTAGGGTTTCGGGTTTCGGGTTTAGGGTTTCACTTCCCCCCTTTCTCGCGGTCCAAAAACCCCCCTAAAGCCTCTGCCCTCTAAACCCTCAGCCCTAAGCCGGATACCCTACCCCCTGAACCCTCCACCCTAAACCCTCAACCCTAAAGCCGAAACTCTCAACCCTGAACCATACCTTGAAGCTGCAGCTTCTGCGCCTTGAACCACCAAACCCATTAAACCCCCAAACCTAGGAGCCCCCAATGGGCCCTTATTGCCTTGTATCTTTGGGCTGAGGGCTTAGGGTTTAGGGTTTGGGGGCTTAGCGTTTAGGGTTTATAGGGTTTATAGGGGTTAGGGTTTAGACGCTGTAGGGTTTCCCCTGTCAACCAAAAAACTAATACCCCAAACCCTAACCCCTAAACCCTAAACCCTAAACACAGTCTTTCATATGTATATTTTGACCTTAATGAGTTCGTCGGCAAGGCCCCAATTTGAGCCCCTTGCCGACGAATTTGGGCCGTAAATCCGTCTGCAAGGCCAAACGTGGGCCAAACCTTAATGAAACTCGTCGGCAAGGCCCGAGTTGGGCCTTAAATTCGTCGGCAAGGGCCTTAAATTCGTCCACAATTTCCAAATTGGGCCAAATCTTAGTGAAATTCGCCGACAAGGCCCAAGATGCGCATTGCCGACGAATTTGGGCCTTAATTCAAGGCCCAATTTGGGCTAAACCTTAATGAATTTCGTCGGCAGGGCCCACAATGCGCCTTGCCGACGAATGTCCGAAAAATGAAAGTGAAATATTTTCTTAATGTTATGGGATTCTTCGGGCGGGTGGGTATTTTTCCAACGCTCGAGTAGTCGCTTGACTAGTGAATGCTTGGACATGAGATGCTGAACCCTAAACCCAAAAGCCTAAACCCTAAACCCTAAACCCTAAACCCTAAACCCTAAACCCTAAACCCTAAACCCTAAACCCTAAACCCTAAACCCTAAACCCTAAACCCTAAACCCTAAACCCTAAACCCTAAACCCTAAACCGTTACCCATGCACCCAAGATGCCCAGGCTTTCACGTTCGGTCGGCGGCCTCTTTCAACTCGTCCCGCCGCGGCGGTTTAGCCTGAGCAGGACGCCTCCAGGGCTGGGGTTTAGGGTTTAGGGTTTAGGGTTTAGGGTTTAGGGTTTAGGGTTTAGGGTTTAGGGTTTAGGGTTTAGGGTTTAGGGTTTAGGGTTTAGGGTTTAGGGCTTAGGCTTTTGGGCATGAGGGTTAGTCATATCTGCGCCGCAGATGCGTTGGCGGGTAACAAGAAATAGCAGGGTCTAGGGTTTAGGGTTTATGGCCTACCTCATAGGGGGTTTGTTTGTTAGTTCTAACCTAAAAAAACTACGTTGGGTTTCTTTAAGGTAGGATTTAGTGTCAGTTTCACTCACAGGCGGGCTGGCTTGCATACTGCAAGCAGGCACCTGCGTTGAATTCAATCTCCGTGCTTGATTTGCTTGTCCATTTCTCAAAAAGGAGAGGGTGTAGGGCTTAGGGATTCTGGCTGAGGGCTTTGGGTCTCAGGGTCTCAGGGTCTCAGGGTCTTAGGGTCTCAGGGTCTTAGGGTCTTAGGGTCTTAGGGTCTTAGGGTCTTAGGGTCTGAGGGTCTTAGGGTCTTAGGGTCTTAGGGTCTTAGGGTCTGAGGGTCTTAGGGTCTTAGGGTCTTAGGGTCTGAGGGTCTGAGGGTCTTAGGGTCTTAGGGTCTTAGGGTCACGCTCATGAGCGCGATGAACCTGGCTACCCTAAACCCTAAACCCTAAACCCTAAACCCATGACACTGCCGAAAACTCAAACACCCTGTGCCCTAAACCCCCAAAACCCGAACCCTAAAACCAACCCCCTAAACCCTAATCCCTAAATCCTTTGATTCGGGGCGCGGGGAAATGCAGCCACTCTATGTGAAAAAAGCTCAGCGGTCTGGGGGGATGGCACTGAACCTGTTTGGGGGGTTTAGGGTTCAGGGTTGGGGGCTTTTGGGTCGAGGGGGTCTAGGGGTTTAGGGTTGGGGGTTTAGGGGTTTGGGGGTTTTGGGTCTTCAGGGTTTTAGGGGTTGGAGCGCGCGCACGCCCAAAGGCCTAAACCAAACCAAACCACTGAACCTAGAGAGCAGCAGCCCTGGATACCCTTTTTCGGCAGAAGAAGCGGCATGCGCCAAGCTTACGAAGCCACGAGGTCCATGGGAAGAGCAGGAGAATTCCTGAGTCACTTCAGAGCATGGCTTCATGCGGCACCCATTCTAGGCCCGTTCTAGGCTTGGCGGGTTGGTCTCAGATTTCAACGACCTCAGCTGGCATCGAAGCTCTTCAAGGAGTCATCCCCTAGACCAAAGCTTCTGGCTTTAAGGTTTATGCACCGACGAATTGTTTCTCCCCTAAGCCCTAAGCCCTAAGCCCTAAACCCTAAACCCTAAACCCGGAACCCTGAACCCCCAAAACCCTAAAAACCCTGGACCCTTGAACCCCAAGCCGAAGGTTTAGGGTTTAGGGTTTAGGGTTTAGGGTTTAGGGTTTAGGGTTTAGGGTTTAGGGTTTAGGGTTTAGGGTTTAGGGGGTGGCCCTAGGGCGTGCTTTAAACTTTCTTGGAGGGGCGGGAGGGCCTGTTAGCCGTGACCCCATGGCCAACGCAGGGGCCCGCGGCTCTGCAGTGACTGTCGACTGGAAGGGTTTAGGGTTACCGGGTTTAGGGTTTAGGGTTTAGGGTTTAGGGTTTAGGGTTTCAAACGGTTACCCCTCCTTCCCCCCCCCCCCTCCCCTTATCCATTCCAGTATTCTTGGGCCCCTTTTCCCACCCCTAGTCTCTAGGGGGTTCCCCTTAGACCGCAGACTTTGCCCTAAACCCGAAACCCTAAACCCGAAACCCTGAACCCTAATATACACCCTAAGCCCTAAACCCTAAGCCCTAAGCCCTAAACCCCAATCGCCCTCAGAAGTATGGTTCGACGCAGGTGTATACACTAAGCCCCACACGCCCATTCTTTTGCGTATCGACTCCCCACAGGATGGTGACGCCCCCCCTAAACCCTTAAACCCTAAATCTTCTAGGACCAGGAGTAGGCCCCTTTTGTGCTTTTTTTTAGGGTTGGGGTTCCCTAATAATCCCCTTAAAACCAAAAAGGGTACCCTTTGTATTCCTAGGTTACTCCCGGGTCTAGTCTTAGACCCCATCATGCGGATCGTAAGTAACAGAGGAAATTACTGGGTCGGTCAAGTCGGATCTTTGAGTCGCGAGTCGCTCCGCATTTGAAGAAGAGCCTTGTGACAGCCCAACCCTGAAGGGAAGGGGGGGCAGAAACCCGAATCGTATTCAACCCCATCTGGCGTCTCGCGTCTCTACGACCTACAGTGAAGTGTTCTTCCAGACATTCGACTTCCTAAATCCCTCAGGCTCCACATGTCTAAACCTTAAATCTTTCATCATCCAACTTCCCTAAACCCTAAACCCTAAGCCCTAAACCCTAAACCCGAAACCCGAAGCCCGAAGCCCGAAGCCCTAAACTGAACTCTGCTGGGCCCTGTTCTATACCTGCCCCGAGGCCAGAAATCCCGGCGTTGCCTTGGCAGATTTCGATGCGGAGGCCAGCCTTTCATGTGATACTGCGTCTGTGGTTTGCAGGAGAAACATGGGGCTTAGGGCTTAGGGCTTATAGGGCTATAGGGCTGATAGGGCTATAGGGCTTAGGGCTTATAGGGCTATAAGGCTATAGGGCTTAGGGCTTAGGGCTTATAGGGCTATAGGGCTCAGGGCTTAGGGCTTAGGGCTTATAGGGCTATAGGGCTTAGGGCTTAGGGCTTAGGGCTTAGGGCTTAGGGCTTAGGGCTTAGGGCTTTCCTAGGTAGGATAAGGGGGACCCTTAAAAGGGAACCCCTTCTTAACCCTCTTCTTGCTCTCTTAAACAGAGACCTCATTTAGAGGGTCTCTATCCCCAAGGGTCCCCCTAATCCTATCCCCTAGGCTTAGGGCTTAGGGCTTAGGGCTTAGGGGCTTAGGGGCTTAGGGGCTTAGGGGCTTAGGGGCTTAGGGGCTTAGGGGCTTAGGGCTTAGGGCTTCATCCTCATGCCAGGGACCCAAATTGAGAGCAACCCTCAGTGGGGTACCGTAAACCCGAAACCCCTAACCTTTTTACCCCTAAACCCTAAACCCTAAACCCAAAACCCCAAACCCTAAACCCTAAGCCCTAAAACCCCTTAACCCTCGCTTCCTTCAGGCTCCCTGGGCATCTACCCGCTTAGACACTCTCCTCAGGGACCCTATGGCCCTTTGACGATATAGTTCCAGGCCGACGGCTACGGACCAGAATATCTGCGATTCCACCGAGGCTGGCAAAGCCCTAAGCCGGATAGCCCCTGAACCCCATGCCTCCCCAAACCGCTAATCCCTAAACCCTAAACCCGAAACCGAAAACTTGAGGAGTGCTACAGTAAGCGCCCAAACAGGGAAAGGAAGCACCTCGCGGAGGTTTTGCAATAGAGGATAAGGTCAGACCCCCAAAAGCATGCTTCCTTGGTCATTTCACTCAGATTCTAGGATCTTCGTGCTATTTTACGAGTACGTTCGTATGGAAGCATTCATGTCTGCTTCATTCACTTCAGATTCAGTTGTGATGCTTGAGTTGTCAGTTTCTGCTGTCTGTTTCTCACATTCTGCCCGACACGGCTTTAGATGACTCAAACCTCTTGCGTTTGTTCTTTACTTTGCCACATTTATCTGCGCATCCTTTGTAGAAGTCTTTAACTCTATTCTAATGCTGATTTGGACATGTCTACTACAGTATTCTTTCCTATATACCGAATATTCTTCCAACAGCATTCTGGCTGTTGAAGGCAATACGGTCTCCAGTCGACTAGGTGGTTTCAAGCCGCCAGTATGATCTCGTGCGTCTCATGCTTGCTGCTTCTACCCTTTGCTCTGCGTGCGCTTTGAGTTGCAAGTGTCCAACCTTCCGAAGAAACTATGCTGATTTCTCTTATGGTCCCTTTTGGGGTCATTATTCCATGGGGTCCCCTCTTATAAAACGGGACCCCAACTCAGAGAACTCACCCGATGGTTGTCCGCTTGCTCGCTGCGAGTTGTTTTGCAGCTGGTGTAGGTGCGAGGCGCAGGGTAACTGCCCCCGGTGAGTAGTCGATACCCCGATTGTTCTTTCGAGCTTGTGCATCTGCGTAACGCTTTTTTGGTTGTGACTCGTATTCGAAGTTCGTCTTCTTGGGTTGTAGTTCGTAATTCGCGAGCGCATTGCAGGCGCATTTGCGTTAAGGCCTCTGCTGGGTTGTTCTCTCGTTTCTTCTCGCGCCGCCCTCGTCAGTAGGCTGGCATGGGTTTCAGGACAGATCTTCTTCGACTTCCGGATGGCTTTGTGCATGCATGCCTTTTGGGTAAGATCGCCAAAACCCCTAAAACCATACAAAACCCAAACCGGAAGACCCTAAAGCCCCAGAGCCTTAAAAGCCTGAACCTTAAACACTAAACCCCTAGACCCTAAACTCTAAATCCTCTAAACCCCAAAAAAAGGCGACTCGATGTTCATACTGTCCCACCCGGAGAACGACTCTGATTGGGCCATGGCCCCCAGTCATTCCTTCGGGAGGCTCCCTACGGTTTAGGGTTTTGGGTTTGGGTCTAGGGCTAGGGTCTAGGGTCTGGGGTTCAGGGTTTAGGGTTGAGGGTTTGGGGTTTAGGGTTTAGGGTTTCGGGGGGTTTAGGGGATTTAGTGGCGTTTAGGGGGTTTAGGGGAATTAGGGGGTTTGGGAGGGTTTTGGGGTCTAGGGCTTCGGGGGGTTTAGCGATACGTTTAGAGGGTTTTGGGTTTAGGGTTGAGTTTAGAAGGTTTAGGGTTTTTAGGGTCTGGGGTTTAGGGGCTTGGGGTTTGGCAGGGCTGAAGGGCGCAAAGTTCGGGGTTCATAGGGTTCAGGGTAGAGTGGGAGCAGGCGGTCGCACACTTCGACCAGCACTGAAAACATCTGCGTGAAGCATCTGCAAGCTCAAGTCTTGCGCCCTACGCCCTAAAGCCCCCCAAGCCCGAAACCCTAAACCCTAGCCCTAAACCCTAAACCCTAAACCCTAAACCCTAAACCCTAAACCCTAAACCCTAAACCCTAAACCCTAAATCTCCGCCATACCCAGGTCTTCTGTGAGATGCGCGGCCGTACGGGGTGGGTCCCCAGAAACTTTATTGGAGAGGCTTGGTGGATCTGAGATTCGTGGCTCAGGGTTTAGGGTTCTAGGGTTTTAGGGTTTAGGGTTTAGGGTTTGGGGTTTGGGTTTTAGGGTTTAGGGTTTAGGGTTTAGGGTTTGGGGTTTGGGGTTTAGGGTTTAGGGTTTAGGGTTTAGGGTTGAGGGTTTAGGGTTTAGGGTTTAGTAGGGTTTCAGGCATCTTCTAAGATGACCACGCTGACATGGGTATTTCCCCAAATAGGGTACCCTGAATATACCCCCCAAAATCGCGTCATCCTTCTTGGAGCCCCCCACAGAGGTACCCAATTGTCGGAGACCCCCGAAGTTTGGGGAAACACATTTCCCACCTCCCACACATGAAGCAGGGTTTTGATATCACTGTTTCTGGTGAGTGTATATAAGGTTCCTTTTATCATACTGGTGAGTGTATATACGGGGTGTCCATTTGGGGATGAAAGAACTACATACCCTACTTCATATGCCCATGTACAGCAGCACATGTCGGGCGTCGCAGGAGTCGGCCTGTGCATCCGCCAGACCAGCGCAGAGTTCGCGGAGCCACTTGGCAGTTTCCAAGGGTTTAGTGTTTAGGGTTTAGGGTTTAGGGTTTAGGGTTCAGGGTTTAGGGTTTATAAGCGTTTAGGGTTTAGAGTTAAGGGCTCGGAGTTTAGGGTTCAGGGGGTGTGAAACGACATCGATTTTCGGAAAATGTGCATCGTGGCATTCCTGCGTGTGCGATTTGAAGGGCTGTGGGTTTCATTGTGCCTAAAGGATCTCGTCTTCCTGGAGTTCCAGGGTAGTAGACCCTGGGACCCTAAAAGGGACGATAACTTTGAGAAGTGACTTCATTCACATGACGGAGGGAAACCCTAAACCCTAAACCCTAAACCCTAAACCCTAAACCCTAAACCCTAAACCCTAAACCCTAAACCCTAAACCCTAAACCCTAAACCCTAAACCCTAAACCCTAAACCTCCCCTTGAGCACCAGCGGAAGTCGATGGAGCCCAAATCTGCGTGCTTGCTTGGATATGTCGGCTTGCAGCCCAAAGTAAACCCTGTTTAGGGCTTAGCATTTAGAGCTTCGGGTTTAGGGTTCAGGGTTTAGTTTAGGGTTTATGGTTTGGGGCTTAGGGTTTAGGGTTCAAGGTTTAGGGTTTAGGGTTTAGGGCTCCAGCCTAAGCCCCACAAGGCGTGTCAAGCAGCCGACAAGATGTTGTACCGAGGTGAAACGGTCCCGTCGACGGCTGCTGACAGTAAGAGGTGCATGGCAGAGCTTAGTAGTAGTAGTAGTAGTAGTAGTAGTAGTAGTAGTAGTAGTAGTAGTAGTAGTAGTAGTAGTAGTAGTAGTAGTAGTAGTAGTAGTAGTAGTAGTAGTAGTAGTAGTAGTAGTAGTAGTGTAGTAGTAGTAGTAGTAGTAGTAGTAGTAGTAGTAGTAGTAGTAGTGTTAGTGGTAGGGTAGTGGTAGTGGTAGTGGTAGTGGTAGTGGTAGTGGTAGTGGTAGTGGTAGTGGTAGTGGTAGTGGTAGTGGTAGTGGTAGTGTTGTGGTAGTGGTAGTGGTTGTGGTTGTGGTTGTGGTTGTGGTAGTGGTAGTGGTAGTGGTAGTGGTAGTGGTAGTGGTAGTAGTAGTAGTAGGAGGTAACCTTCATTTAGGGAGACTTGGAAATGTTTTGTTTATCATACTTTTTGGGCACTTTAATTCCCAAGAAACAGCTACAATGATAAGTGTTGCTAGGGTTCCAAGCTCAGTATAGTGTAACCCTTTTATTTTTAGGGTCCTATATTCCCTTTATAGTCCCAAAGGTGAACCTTTAGTTTTTCCAGGATACTGGACAACTAGGAGAGTCTATTTCCAGACAGCACGGGTTTGGGCTTTAGAGGTGTTTATGCCAAACCCCTCAAACCCCCAAACCACCTAAACCCCCCAAAACCCCCAAACTCCCCCAAACTCCCCCAAACTCCCCCAAACTCCCCCAAACTCCCCCAAACTCCCCCAAACTCCAAACTCCCCCAAACTCCCCCCCCCCCCCCCCCCCCCCCTCCCCCCGCCCAAAAAAAAAAAACAAGCCCCAGACTGCAGTGTTCTCATGTATGTAGAGGCTGGAGGGATGCCAAGAGGGGGAGGGGGTTCCCTCCCCCAACTCCTAAGTTATGTACCCTTTTGGTTCTGAGAGGACCCTCATTTGCGGAATCTGAAGAAGTCTTCAGAAGGCTGAAAAGAGGCCCTAGGGTTTAAAATTTAGGATTTAGGGTTTAGGGTTTAGGGTTTAGGATATAGGGTTTAGGGTTTAGGCGCCTAAACCCTAAACCCGACAGCGCCGTGGGAGGCAGGAGGATGAGTGCGACCGTTGCGCAAAACTGGAGAAGCAAATCCAGGCCCGTTTGCCTTGCGCGCACATGTGTGGGTTTACGGTTTATGCTTAGGGGGTTTAGGTTTTTTGGGTTTAGGGGCTTTAGGGTTTTCAGGGCTATAGGCTTGGAGTTTTAAGGTCTAGGGTCCAATGTGGGGTTTGGCTCCTGAAAGTTGAGGGGTTTAGGGTTTAGGGTTTAGGGTTTAGGGTCTAGGGTTTAGGGTTTAGGGTTTAGGGTTTAGGGTTTAGGGTTTAGGGTTTAGGGTTTAGGGTTAGGGTTTAGGGTTTAGGGTTTAGGGTTTAGGGTTTAGGGTTTAGGGTTTTAGGGTTTAGGGTTTAGGGTTTAGGGTTTAGGGTTTAGGGTTTAGGGTTTAGGGTTTAGGGTTTAGGGTTTAGGGTTTAGGGTTTAGGGTTTAGGGTTTAGGGTTTAGGGTTTAGGGTTTAGGGTTTAGCAGCTTCTGCCTGGCTTGGGCGTGGTCCTTCAACACCCACGAAGCCCTTTTCTTCTCCGCACGTCTTTAGGGAAGGTCGCTTTCCCCTTGCTCTTTAGAACAAAACCCCGGCCCTGGCTATTTGCTGAACAGAAGCGGAAAGGTGTGTCGCAGCAGAACCACAAAACGCGAGGTGTTGGGTTCTTTAGGTACGCCTGACATTGATTTGGCAGACTGCTTAATTCGGCTACATGGGCCGCATGGGCCTTATCCTAACCCCTATGGAATGCAATAAAAAAAAGTTTTGATAAGAGCCTTTCCGGGTTAAGCGCCTAAACCTAAACCCCTATGTCCTGAAGTCCCTAAACCCTAAACCCTAAACCCTAAACCCTAAACCCTAAACCCTAAACCCTAAACCCCAGCACTACCCCTGAACCCTAAACCCTAATCCTGAAAGCCTGCTGGAGGACTTGAAGCTCGCAATCGCAGAGATAAAGAAGACCAGCCAGTCTCCCTTTAATGGCAAGGCCGGGCCTGCGGTTAGGGTTCAGGGTTTAGGGTTTAGGGTTTAGGGTTCAGGGTTTAGGGTTTAGGGTTTAGGGTTAGGAGGGTTAGCAGGGTTAGTAGTATTAGTAGTGTTAGCAGAGTTAGAAGTGTTAGTAGGGTGAGCAGGGTTAGTAGGGTGTAGAGTTTTAGGGTTGTGGGGGGTTGAAGTGTGAAAGGAGAATATCAACAGCCTGCCTCTGAGGAGGTGCCGCGCATCTGCGCCTGGCCCCCGAACTTCGGTAACCTCTGTAACCTCTCTCAGCCTTTCTCTTACAGAATAGGGAGGGTGGGGCTTCAGGATATAGGGCTGAAAGTTTGGGGGTTTTTTGGGGTTTGGGGAATATTTAGGGTGTAGGGGGTATTTAGGGTTTAGAGTTTAGGGTTTTGGGTTTAGACTTTTTGGATCATGGAGAACATCTCGGTGAAACCCTAAACCCTAAACATTCCCTACAGCCTAAACATTCCCCAAAGCCTAAACCCTCAACCCTCAACCCTCAACCCTCAACCCTAAACCCTAAACCCTAAACCCTAAACCCTAAACCCTAAACCCTAAACCCTAAACCCTAAACCCTAAACCCTAAACCCTAAACCCGAACCGCCTCTGGGCCTTGAGGCGATTGGGACCTACACGGTTCTGCGAAAGGAAAGTCGGTACTACGTCGTCGAGGCTAGCTTTCGGCTTTGGCGTTACGCAGCTGCTATGAGTCTGCATGCACTTTGTATATATATATATATATATTTATTTATTTATTTATTTACTTATTTATTTATATGTATGCATATATATATATATATATATATATATATATATATATATGTATATATGTGTGTATACGTATAGACTTGTATCCAGTACCCAACATCGAATTGCACAGGAGAGAACGAAGGCAAGTTCACAGATGAGAAGTTGTATTTGTATATGTGGAGAGAGAGAGAGAGAGACAGAGCGAGAGGGAGAGAGAGAGAGAGAGAGCGACAGAGAGAGAGAGAGAGAGAGGCGTACACGGACACTACACACCACGACAGATCTTTGCTATGGGTGCCTTGGAGGCTTGGGTTTGGGTTAGGGTCGAGTGGGGACGCTTGTTGGGGATTTTGTGTTCTGGCTTGTGGTGTAACTGGGTAGCCGGGGCAGCCCTAATCCCCAAATTCAATACTGAGTCTTCCCTACTGAGTCTTCCCAGCTAAGCCCGAAACTCTCGACCCTCATGTGTTCGGCCAGAAAGGTTCCCCCCCCCTTTCCCCAAACTCCCCTTTGAGGCCACCTTCCCGGGAACGACCGAGAAGCAGTACTTCAAGTGGTGCGGAAGGGCAGGGAGATCGGACGGGGGTCCTTGAGGTTTTCAGGAAGTCTCCTGAACCTTAAACCGCAAACCCTCAACCCTATAAACCCTCAGCAACGCCTCCTCCCCCTCCCCCCCCCCTCCCAGCTTGACGATTTTTAGTTTGGGCGCTTGAGATCTTGAAAGACGCCGCGTCAGAATTCTCGGAAAGCCCACCCTGGAGGAGTTTCGAGTTTCCGGTTTTGGGATATATTACAGGCTTTTAAGCTTTATGGTGGAGCTCCTAACCCCTGCGCGCAGTCCCAAAAAACACAAGAAGAGGTTTGGGCCACTTCTAGCAAATGAAGTGAAGCCCTCACCCCCTGAACCCTAAACACTGAACCCCAGAAACCCCAAAACCCTACACCCAACACCCAAAACCCAAAACCCTTATCCCTAAATCCTAAACCGTAAACCCTAAACCCTAAGCCCTAAAGCCCTAACCCCTAATTCAAGGTCTCATGGGAACTCATAAGAAGCGCTACGCGTGGCAGAGCCCTAAACCCTAAACCCTAAACCCTAAACCCTAAACCCTAAACCCTAAACCCTAAACCCTAAACCCTAAACCCTAAACCCTAAACCCTAAACCCTAAACCCTAAACCCTGTAGTCTCATCAAGGTCAGGTCCGGGTCTGGAAAGCCCTACGTCAAGCCCCGTCCGCACTCTGGGTTTCGGGTTTAGGAAAGGTTTAGGGTTTAGGGTTTAGGGAATGTTGAGGGTTTAGGGTTTAGGGTTTAGGGCTAGGGTACCCTAAACCCTCCACCCCTTCAACATCAACCCCTAAACCCCTACCTCCGCGGTCGCAGAAGCGGTTGTACGCTTCAAGTTCAGGGAACGCCTGCCAAGCCTGCTAAACCCCAAGCCCCAAACCCTGAACCCTGAACCCCAAACCCCAAACCCCAAACCCTAAAAACCCCAAACCCCAAACCCCAAACCCTAAACCCTAAACCCTAGCCGCAGGTACTTCGACCCTGTGGAGCTCCTTGGCACGAAGTTCATGCAGATTCGGGTCGTTGCCTTCCACAAGTTGCGGGAAGTCTGTGTTTTTTTTTGGGGGGGGGGGGGGGGGGGGGGTTTAGGGTTTAGGGTTTAGGGTTTAGGGTTGAGAGTTGTGGGTTTAGGGTGTTTAGGGTTTAGTTTCAGGGTTTAAGGGCCCCCTAGTAACTTAGTAGGGATGAGGGGGGCCTTGGGTTTTGGAGTTGGTGCTTGCGGCTTAGGGCTCAGGGTTAGCAAACCTCATGAACACTGTAACTTCTCAAGCCCTACAAGCCCAACAAAGCCACGGAAGCACTCTCATCCCACACGCGGTTGGCCGTCTAGAACCCTCCTCCCTGCAAAGTCTATGGGGTATGGAGCCCTCTGAGTCGCCGTGTAAACCCCTGTATTTTGGGTTTAGGGTTTAGGGTGTAGGTGAGCCCTATGAGCGATAAAGCCTGTAAGCCATAACCTTGTAAGGCCCTTGAAGCCCCAGGAGCCCTTGCTAGAGTCCCAAAAAGCCCAAGCCGGCACCCGAAAAGAGCCCGAACACCTCGACCCTAAACTACCCTTGACGCTACAAACCCTCGAAGCCCACATAAGCCAGGGTTTCGGCTTTAGTGTTTATGGTTGCCCACATCCTAGACCATAAATTTCCCACACCTGTAATCAAACCCTACACACATGTCATTTCTCAAAGTAGGGGTACCCCTTTAAAACCCCAGATAGAAAAGGCAGAATAGAATCCCCTTAAAGGGACACCCTACAAGGATACCCCTATTCGAGGCAATCCCCACATGAAGCCCTAAAGGCCCTACACGCCCAAAACCCTAAGCCCGAAACCCCTAACCCCTAAATTCAAACCTAAGCTCCGAAGGCCTAAACCCTAAACCTTAGTAGCTGCGTGTACCCATTGCACTTTTTGGGATACTAGAACCCCCTGTAGAATGGAAAGCGTACACTTTTGGGGGGCTTGTGAACTCAGCAACTAAGAATCCTGTAACCCCTAAACCCTAAACCCTAAACCCTAAACCCTAAACCCTAAACCCTAAACCCTAAACCCTAAACCCTAAACCCTAAACCCTAAACCCTAAACCCTAAACCCTAAACCCTAAACCCTAAACCCTAAACCCTAGCCAAGGGCCTCGGAGAGCTTGTCTGGCTGACGGGTGGCGTGACCATGCGAGAATCGACCCAGAGACTCCAAGACCCCTTAACTGAGGTTTAGGGTTTAGGGTTTAGGGTTTAGGGTTTAGAGTTCAGGGTTTGGGGTTTGGGGTTTAGGGTTTAGGGTTTAGGATTCGAGACTCCAAGACCCCCTTAGCTGAGGGTTTAGATTGGGATGTTCCCCGGTATACTAACAGTCCCGAATAGGGATTATCTCACCGGGAGCCTAAACCCTAAACCCTAAACCCTAAACCCTAAACCCTAAGCCCTAAACCCTAAACCCTAAACCCTAAAGTCTGGGAGTCTTTGGGCCGCTGGCACAAGCTTGCAAAAGACGGGTCTCCCTGCTGCAGGGCTATCAGGGCCTTCGCCCTTCCGGGTTTCAGGTTTCAGGTTTAGGGTTTAGGGTTTAGGGTTTAGGGTCCGTGTTTAGGGTCTAGGACTTACGGCTTAGAGTTTAGGAGTATGGAAAGATCGAATGAATAGATTTGGGTCTCTGCCGCTCTCAGGCAGCAGACTCCAATACTCCTCAAGGAATTGGCAACACATCACACGTGGACCCTAAACCCAAAAACCCAAAGCCCGAAACCCTAGATCCTGAACCCTAAAACTTCTTGGTCGGGGATTTCTTTTTGAGCCTTCCCTGCTTCTCTGTCCTTCGGCCGGACGTGCGAATGTGATTGGCTCCGCTGGCTCAGAGCCTCAAAGACGATGTCAAGCCGTTGGTTTAGGGTTGAGGGATTACAGGGTTCACGACCCACAACCGCATGAGCCTGATTTCCGGGACCCTGAGTTGCTTTTCCCTTGTTTGCGTACGCCTCTTGGTTAGAATCTTTGAAGCATCGCTAGGTGAAGAAATTAGGTGTCCCCCGAAAATTACACGAAGCTGGCCACCCTGAGATCACAGTTCCCCTAAGCACTCAATTCAGGGTTTAGGAAGTTTAGGGTTTAGGGTTTAGGGGCCCAAAGCTCTGGTAGGTTACCCCACAGCGCGTGGCGTTGGACCACCAGCCCTAGTCGAGGGCCAGCACATGGATGGGGCGTCGCGGATGCGCCTTGATACTGGCATGCACAGGAGTGGGGTGTAGGGCCCTATACCATCCTGTACCCTAAACCCTACACCCCAAACCCAAACCCAAAACCCTTAAACCCTTAAACCCCTAAACCCCTAAACCCCTAAACCCCTAAACCCCCATACTCCAACCCCCCCCCCCCCCCGCCCCAAACCCACCACATGTTTCTGAAGGTGCAGGCTTTGGGAGAGTGTTACCTCCCTACCATAAGGCACGAAAGCCCACAGCATGCACATGAGGGTTTGTAGCAGCCTCACATACCTTCGGATGCCCAGAAGTGCTCTCATCCCCTTGTGGCATGCGCTGGGACCCTTCTAAACGGAGAGGTGTGTGGCCATGTGGGGAGAGCAGACTTCGCGGGTGCCCCCTTAAGGGGTCCGCGGATTAAGATCGGAAATGTAGGTTCAAAGTATGAAAATGAAGAAACGCTGCAAAGCATAGAGCGGAAAGCATGAAAAACAACGAGCCGGTTTAATGTTGGTCTGTGAATAGTATATCCTCGACCATGCCATTCTGCTAAAGAATGAAATGGATCTAATCAGCTCCTCACCAAGCTTTCTTGTCTCAAAGGTCACGCATAACCGCATAACCCACGAAAGCCAACTGATGTACCAAGCCGCCCAAGCCCCCCCCCCCCCCCCCCCCCCCCCCCAACCCCCCTACCCCCCCAACCTCACCCCCCCCAACCCCCACCTTGATGTTTGCATGATTTAGTCTCCAAACCCCAAACCCGAAAGGCGGTCCGAAAGCCTACCCCTCAGCGTTTAGGGTTTAGGGTTTAGGGTTTAGGGTTTAGGGTTTTAGGGTTTAGGGTTTAGGGTTTAGGGTTTAGGGTTTAGGGTTTAGGCTATGGACCCTCAGAGCCCCGTTGGACTTCCTTGACGGTCGACAGGAGTGCTCTGTGCTGGGCATGCCCCCCAGAATGTCACGTGCACGGTGGTGAAGGACCGCGTGGCGATGTTGGGACTTCCAGAGGGGGGGGGGGGGGTCAAGGTTTAGGGTCACTTGGGTTTAGGGTTTAGGGTTTAGGGTTTAGGGTTTAGGGTTACTTGCGAGCCCAGTGGCACCCTCTGCACTGCCCTGTTTTTAGTTCTGGGTTCCCTTCTCACATGTCCACCAAAAAAGTCGGGAACCCTTATTGCAAGGTTAAGCTTAACTCCTCGCCACTAAAACCCTACTTACGCCGCACCCCCTTCGGAACTTCGAAGCTGCTACCGGATGGGCTCTTCACTAACTGCATGAGCCTTGGGACATTTTACAGATTCGCTCTTGGGTTTAACAGGATCATATTCAGGAACCTTTTTAGGTGAGCCTTGGGACATTGTATATCTTCTCTCTTTGGGTGTAAAAGGGGTCAGGAACATGTTTAGAGGGTTCAAGCGCCATCCAGCTTCACCTGCTGTCTCACCCTGCTGACTTGTGACATGTAGATGTTAAGTGCCTCCAGGAGGTTCCTTCAACAGACGAACGCCCCAGCGCCAAACACAAAGCCCCATAAGATCTGGGCGCAACGCTGTGCATGCCGCAGCTCACTTGCGGCTGAGAGGGCTTCGAAAAAACCGACTTCCTCGCGCGAGCATGCAGAGGCTGGATCTCAGGCCTGTGGATGCCTCGCGAGGGCTCCAGCATGGCAACGCCATGTCAGCAGTGCAGCCGTCGGCGCTACCCCTGATCAGCCGCCAAGGAATTCCTCCGCATCCATACTCAATGCCTGCGCAGGCTCCTGGAAAGAAATTTGTGTGAACCCGATAAACCGCCCTAAAGCCTGAACTACCGAATTAAACGGATCAACCCCTACAACCTGAGGCACGCCACATCGTGACAGCAAGCCCAGCAGAGCCACCGCCTTCTGGACAGCCTGCGTCTCCGGCGACGTCGCCCACGTCGACGAACCAGGATTCGCTTTCACAGGGTTGATGTTCATGGTCTCAACATCGGAGTGGGTTAGGTTAGGTTTGCAAGTTTTTGGGTGCAGGGTCTTCGAAGCCCTACCCTTAACCTTCAACCCTGAACCCTAAACCCTGAGAATCCCTAAAGCTCCCCAAGCCCGAGCCTAGAGCCAGGAGCCGGAAGGCCGTCCCCGCGGCGACTATGTGTACCTGGGCATCGATTTCAAGCCGCTGCTGCCCCCAGCGCTTCTGGTGTCCACCGTCCTAGGACGCCGTGGGATGAAATCCCATATGGGGTATTTCCCAAAAGAGGGTTCGCCTTCTTGATGCCCCAAATAGAATAGAAGCCGCCTCAAAGGGATCCCCCAAAGAGGTTACCCTTATTTTCGGAAACCCCCATATGCAGCTTGTAGCGACTCTACAGCTACAAGGTCAACCTTTTTTCCATCAGGTGTTGAAGAAAATGCGGTTTAGGGAGCTATGGCTTGCCTGGAAAGAGGCTTGTCTCATGGGTTTGTTAGGCTCTGAGTTTCTGGATTTGCCCCTAAGCCCTAAACCCAACAGCGGGCCCTGGGATTATGGGGTTTAGGGGTTTACGGGGTCTAGGGCTTAGGGCTATGCGTCCAGGGTTTTGGGTTTCGGCTTGGGTCATCAGCTGGGCATGAGATGTCATCGGCGGCCAACAGTCCCCGTACAAGTAGGGTGGCTCGGCGCCTTTGCTTGTTCGAATACCCGCAGGATGGATGTGTACGATGATGGTGCACATCCCGTTGATTTGCGAGCACACCGGCTTGTCGAAGAGCGCCCTGTGGGTACTTTCGTCCGTGCTGCATGGCACCCCTTTCGGATGCATGGTTTACTGCATCACAGCCGACCCGGGCCAGATTCGGGAGCGAAAGGGAGACTTGCAGACACTGGACGTGGAAAAAGCACAAAAACTGCCGGAGCGGAGCCACAAGTCATGGCAGTACCCCCACCCGATAAAGCGTTACGACCACTACTGCAAGTGGCTGGACAACACGATCGCCTTGCTCAACCACCGCGAGTTTGTCCTGATGCTGCTCTTCCTGACACTGGTTGGCGTGCTCGGCATCATCTTGGATGTGTACGTTTCGATGCTCATCGTCGACAGCGATTTCTTGTCTCGCAAGGAGGTCTGGGTCATCCTTCATATGGTCTACTCTTCAGCGTTGCTGGTCGTTGAGGTCCCCATCTTCCGGATTCATGTTGGGTTGGTGTCTCGCAACGAGCTGGCAAACGAGTGGAAGGAGAATGCCAACTATGTAGCCAACAACACGAGTCAAGGCGACCATGTTCCAGTGCACAGTTTAGATGATGACGAGTACAATGAGCTGTTCGACCGTGGTGCATTTGTGTATGATCCCAGTCGAAATCGCTGGGATCGCGGATGGTTCACCAACTGCGTAAACTTCTGGTGCTGGCCGCGCTGGCCAGATGAGGAGAAAGGTGACTTCTGAGCACGTGAGGAAGTCACCGTTTCTGATGCGGATCGCAACACGACAGAACGCTAATGCCCTCCTGCGGAAAGGCGCTTTTGTGTCCATTTGTCGCACCGTGAAGCAGTCGTTCCCTTAAAGCCCTTAAACCCTAAATCTCGAAACGCCAAACCGCCAAACCCTGAACCCTAAGCCTATATGCACCCTAGCCTCAACCCTAAACCCTTACGCCCTAACCCGTGAACCCTGTAAGCCTTAACCCCTCAAACCCTAATCCCTCGACCCTGAACCCTAGACCCCACTGGGAGGTTCATGGGTCCCCCGGCCCATAACATGAAAGCTGTTCTCGGATGAGAAATCTTGGGGCCCAGGAAGCGGGCTGTACTTCGCACGCTGTTTCACCTTACACGTCAGTAGATATAACGCGTATTGGGGGCAAACTCCCTTCAACAGGCGCCCCGTGTTTGCCTGTCTCAAGGACAGCAACAAGGACAACTCCCGCTGCTGTGCGTGCCGCAGCTTATACTTGCGGCTCAGAGGGCTTCGAAAAAACCGACTTCCTCGCGCGAGCATGCAGAGG